GTTATATGGCGAGTGGAACCATATATTAACAATGTTAATAATTTTAAAAAAATCACTTTTATACCTTTTTTAATACTTCAGAAACTTATTATGCTTTAAAATTATTGGTCTGGTTTAAAAATTCACGCATTATTGTAAAACAGAGTAAAACAAAATGTTTGGCTCTCACAGAAATACATTTTAAAATATGTGACTTTTTTGGCTCTCTCTACTGAAAACGTTTTCGACCCCTGGTTAAGACAATTAATTTTTAATACTTTTTTTGTTCAAATTCTAGTGACATTCAAAGCCAGTGCTGTTCTTCTAGTTGTTCTTTCGGAGCTTTTTAAAGAACTGTTATGACATCAGTTTTTGATAACAATAATCATTGTGAAACAATCATATTGATATAAATTCATTTTCTTATAAACAGTCTCAAAGATACAACTATAAAAATAATGGTGATATAATTTTATTGTAATGATGAACTATGATGAAAAGTGTAGTAAGTTTTTTTTATTTTTGTCAGGTTTACTGGTTTGTTAGTTTGCACCTTCTCTTTTACTGATGTCCTCTGACCCAAGACATGAATCACCATAGTCAGTTGAACTGATGTAATAGAATGTAACAGAATAGACCACAGACAGATATCTTGTCCCCACGGTATGTTCTTTTCAAATGGTGACGCAGCTGTGACGCTGGTATAAAGACACAGATATTATTACTCTTAGCTGCTCTCCTGTTGTGTCATAAGCAGCATCTCTTACGTAAAGAAGATATTCACAGGTTTCTGCATTGTTTAAAAAAATAAAACTTTTTTTCCTTTCTTACTTTATGTAGAGTCATAATTCAGAGGAATAACACAGAAGAATTCCTTAACAGATGCCAAGCTTGTGTGAAGTTATCTGACCTAGCCTTTTTTTGTCTTGGGTTGTTCAGAGTTTTTTGAGGCACTTATTCTCCCTTAGATTTGTTTTAGCAGCAGTTTGTTTTTCTTTGTCCTTTATAGTGGAGTTGACACGTCAACAGTCTCTGTGGGAACCTGTCCTGCTTCTAAACCTTGTTCTTGTGCTTATTGTGAAGAGATAGAGCTTCTGCATTTGGACTGGTTTATCTGAAGAATAGTCAGATTAGCTGTACGTTGCCCAAAGGCACTGAATCACTGGTGTATACGAAAGATAGACTGTTGAGTTTGTTGAAACAAAGGCTGCAGATTTTCAACTCTTACATGAAACAGAAACAACCTGAAAGTCTTCCAAGTTCCTTGAATGTTCTAGAATGGTCAGGGGTGATCTGAAATCTGTTTTTACGGTCTAGAGCTTGCTCTGTGAGGAATGGTCTGAAATTGGTCACCAAGGATGCCAGGAGTGCTCCAACTCAATACAAGACTTTCTTTTTATAGAAGATATATATAAATAAATAAATAAATATTTTGGACATTTATTAAATGTTGTTTTGTGTTTTATCTAATTATAAGATAATTAATCTGTTATCGTTAGAAGAACTCCCAGATCATGCGATTCTGGATTAAGGTTATCTGTAGAAATAAATTGAGATTAAAGAAACCTATGAAATGCAATGAAGTATAATGGCCGTATATGTTCATGTGTATAAAGCCACCGTGTCTCTGTGATTGTGATTTATGTTAAATGACAAAAAATCCACCTATAAAACCTTTGTAAAACCTTAGAGTAAACAGAAAGTTTGGTGTATTTTTTGTGCCTGAGAAAATTGAAACATTATCCATGTCTTAACCTCAGGATTATTTTAAACCCTGTGCTATTGTGTTCAACATTGTGAGTGACAAGAGTCATGTCAGAGCGTTTCTTTTGGGTGAATGTAACAATAGGCACAGTGTACCTTGATAACCGTCTGTCGCAATAGACCTGAATGTTAAGGTATGCGATGTTGTAGAGCAGCATACTGCAGTCTTGCTGTGTGAATCTCCAGAAACAAAGCTATGCAGTCACATGTAAAATATCTTCTGTGGAATTTGCAGTGTCAAGAACACCAGGTTTGTGAGTAAAAGGAAGAACTGTGCTGTACAGAACAAGATGTTTTGAAAATTATGACAAATGAAACCAAGATGTAATTCCCCTACAAATAATCAGCCAGGCTACACTTCCTTCATCTCTGAATCATTGTCGTGCAAAACTCACTCCAACTTCACATGACCTCACAAACTATTGAGCTTCAGTCTGTAATATAATCTGCCACGGCTTTTCATCATATTTTTAAGGAGAAAACCAGGGTGGTTTGTTGGTAAACTTTTGTAGCTAATGGTTACCTGTTTTGGGCTAACATTTTTTTTTCTTTTCAGAAATCACCCTTACCATTAAGTTAAATGATTTGTAGTCTTTTGACAAATAGTCCTCCTGTGAAACCTTTCTCAAACACTTAAAGCCGCTAAAACGATCACAAAAATCACAGTATGGTCTGGAAGTCTGATTCTTTATAGGAATCTGTGGCAGCGAACTATTTATATACAAGTTGTTCTTCCTGAAAACTTTGTTCTGTTTGCCCAAGGCTGGGCAACATATGTAGAGTCACAAACAGATCCGGCTCATCCACTGTGTGCAGATAACTTGACATTTTTGTTGAGATCCTATTACCAACTCTCACCCTCCCATTAATGACTGTTGGCTTGTCTTGGCAACAGTACGACATAATTAGACCCACCGGACGGGTCCGACCAGCCACACGTGCTTGAAGGAATTCATGCATTGACGCAAGTAAATGCTGAACCCAGACAAAAATAATACACATCTCGGGACTATGTATGAGTTGTTGGTTTAACAAGGTTCAACTGAAAAGATTGATGCAGAAATCATGCCCCGCTGAAGTGTGAAGTTTTTTGTTCTATTTTATTCTAAAGCTGCTTTGCATGTTTGAAAGGATTTGCATTAAAAAAAATAAAGCTGACAGTTTTTCCAACAAATTTTGCAAAAGCGTCAGCAACACAGTGGAGTCTTGTGTTGGGACAATTTACATAACCTATCCCATGCAGTTGCCATGCACCTCGCTCCAAACACAGTATAGAAAGACTCATTTGTTATAGGTTTGTTGCTAAAATCAGAATTAGTCAAATCTCTTCATCTAAGTCATTTCCATGTTGTTCCCCTTCAACCAGAGCTTTTACAGTAAAGCTGACTCCGGACTACATAGTAAACCATTAGAAGAACCAAGAACACATTTGCCATTGAAATTAGCATTTGGCTGATTAGACATTGAGTATGGTCATCATTGGGTAAAAGTCATCAACAACCTTCTTGTTTTCTGCTGTGTGAAAATGGCTGCAGGTACTATTTAACTGCTGTCTGATATCAAATGATTATAAATATAGAATGGCAAAGACTGTAGGTTGTCCTAATTAGCATTTAGGCCAAGCCACAGACAGCTAAAAGATCAACAAATAATCTATGGGTTATTGCTAGGGCATCCTAAACAAATAAGAAAAATGATTTTGGCTAAACCTTAGACACAATGGAAGTTTTGACCTTTGTCCATGAGCACCTACTGTACAAATGGTATGAATTTTTGTTTCCAATTGATCTCTGGTGTGGAAATTAAGTTTGACATTAGGCCAAGGGCTTTTCACACCCTGTTCAAAAAAAATTTAAGATGACTTATACCAGTCACACCTTCAACTGACTAGTCGAAGGTGTGACTTCTTCCCAAATCTCCCTTTTCTCTTCTGGTATTCAGCAGTCAGAAACACTTAAAACCAGTTGTTTAGAACTAAAGAAACAGAGTGTAAAGAGCAGGTATAAAAGTATGGTCCTGGCCCTACCAGGTTATATCTGAAAGGCTTTAGTGCCATCACGCCACACAAAAAGAAAATAAATGGCAGTTAAATGTGCTTGTTAAATGTTTGCTTCTTCATGCTTTGTTGCTTTGTATTTATAATTGTAGTTTTTGTTTTGTTTGTTTTGTTAATGAGACACAAACTTGCTGTGAAACCAGATGATTATTTACTTTGTGGACGGCACTCGCACCAGGTCACATCAGCATGTGGAAGAGCAGAGCCTGCTTCCAGCCTGTTCCATCTCTGGAACTGTTTAGAAAGCTAAAGAAATGTTAATTCATTAATCAAATTAATGTTAAATTAAGTTAATTATTTATTAAAGGATAATATACAATAGTAGCACATATTTATTTTGAACTTATGCTAAGACGTAAAGATATATATAAAAATAAATATTAATTTTAGAATTATATTTTAGATAGACAAACGTTTGGTTTCTATTGCTATCTACCCTAGATAAAGCTTGAAGTTAGAAAATGTTAGAGATGATCAAAAAAAATGCCCCCAACCTCCTCAAAATATAAATTAAAATAAGAAATCATTTTATTATTATTATTATTTACAAATTTTGTCCCAGAAATATTTTGCCCCTGCTGCCTTCAAACCAACCACAAAGGAATCTGATGTTAGTGTATATTTAATCTACTAGACAGATTGTAAATGTCCTAAGTATTGTGCGTAGAAAATTCATTACTTGTCGTACAAGTTGAGAGAGTAAACAAATAATTTCAACACGTCCGCGTTGTCAAGGACCTACGTTTTGTTTGCTTTTGTACAAGGCAAAAAAACCTAACCCAACTTGACAGAGGAGAAAATCAGTCTATTTTTTTTCACAGTACCTGTGTGTATAAGTGCTCAAATATGTACGCGTTAAAACCTCTAGCCTCTAGGTGTGTCTTTTCTGTGTTAACTTGACTTGACTTATGTACTTTTTACTTTTTCTCAGTCGACCCGTGTCCCCAGAAGACCTGAGGATCTCTGTGTTATTCATTGTCATGAATGGAAGACAAGAGCTTCAAAAGTCTTCCTCTAATTAAAACTCGTGATATGCTTATATCACAGGTACTGCGTTTCTTTTGAAGGCGGTCCTATGAGGTGCTAGATTGCAGCCAGACCAGCTAGCAACACTGAGCCATTTTATCTTCATTGGCTAAACCTTTCAAAGACTTTTTTTGTGTGTCTGAAATTGAGTCACTGTTGTTTACGCTCGTGGGAAAACATGAACTGTTGGTCTACTTTGCCTCCTTTAGTAAATACGTATGACTAAAGTAAATCAGAACATTTCAAATGTTTTATTCCCAAAAGACAGTTGTTGACGAACGCAGTAATGCTTCGACAACCTGTGTGCACTATAATGTAAAACTGATGATTTTGTGGGATATGGAAAAGTAGGTAGTTGTTGGTAGGTGTTGGTTTTCTTGGTGAAAAAGTCTTTTCCACATGTTTAGGTATCAGTAGTTATTTTTTTAAGAGGTTATAACACAAAAGATTTTTTGTAACGGAGCTAATGTTACTCCTGACTTTGTCTTCTACTCTGTCCATTGCAGTCACGTCTGCTTTGGATCACAGTCACTAAAGTTCTTTCCTTATAAACTAATGAAGTTATTAACATCCATTATAAGCATTTATATTGATGTTGCCCAGAGGCAGTTATCTCCTAATTTGGTGACTTGATCACATGACCCAACAGATATTTATATTTATGTTTTGATGAAATGATAAACAACATAATAATGAACCAGATTAAATAATAAGCAGGTGCTGAATAACAAACAATAACATGGGATTGACAGAGATGCCAACCAATCAGGGCAGCTTTTGTGGTTGTTAAAAAATATTTAATGATGTTGATAATGTCAGTTTTATTTTACATGGCTTACATAATATATGTAGATAATATAATGACAGGTGCTTCTTCGACCCTTGGTTGGCTCAGTCCACCAGAGCATCAGATCTAGTCAAAGACGGGCTTCCTCTGACGTTACATTAGACTACAACTGGACCCTGAATTTGACAAAGCGTCGTCCAGGTTAATTAAAGACCAAACTAGCCTTCACCTGGTTCTGGGGTCTGACCAGGGTAGGCCTCTCCCGGCCCTGAGTTGGAACTATTTTTACCATCTAAGAACTAGGACATCTAAGCTGAAACTATCAAAGTCTGATCTTCTGATCGTATCTTATGACTCACTTGTCCGATCCAAGAGAACAGCATAACGAGCATTGTCCATTGATAAAAAATAGAGTTTGTGTAATGCACAGCTTTAACATTTACTTTTAATCTTTCTGTCTTTTATGTTTTTATGTCAGGTGACACCTGCCTCTGATCTGGTGACAAATTAACTTAACTGCATGTAATGAAGCCTTGAGGATTTTGTCAGGAACGAGGTCGTCCTTCTGCATTTCTGGCCATCTCAAGGTAATTACAACTGAATTGCTCAAACCAAGTTTCCTTTCACCTGAGGCGTTAGCTAAAAATACTCTGTACATATTTTCTTCTAAATAACTTATTCACAAGGAACAAGGAAC